TTTTCAGGTAGCAAGCAGGTCACCGGTTATTATTATTATTATTATTGTTTCCTTTAATTCCTAGAGGAACATAGGGCTTCAGCTGTGCACGTCTCCATTGCGCTCGGTTCTCTGTTAGAGTCTTCACCTGGCTCCAAGTCTGCCAACACGCCTTCATCATCTCCTCTTCACATGACCTCCTCCAGGTCACCCTTGGACGACCAACTCGCCGCTTCCCATTCGGTCGGGTTCCACTCGAGCGATGGCTTGTCTAGTGATGTCACTTGATGGTTTGTTTTCTCAGAGTATGGCCAGCCAATCCATTTCCATTTCTTCCTGCCTATTTGTTTCACAATCGGTTCCTACTGGGTTGGTTCGCTCATTGCCAGAGATCCCACCCTGTTGCTGATCTTTTCTGACCGGCCATCTGATCTTGAGTATTGAGCGAAGACAACAGCCACATTGATGTCTTGTTCACAAGAAAAGAGGTCCTAAGCCCAGGAAAACAGATTATTACCTGACCGCCAATAACAACACAGTAATCACCACTAGTGGGAAACATTATCTAGAGGAAACAGAGACTCTTCCAGCCACTTCCAGCCAGACGGGGCTGGAAAAGCATTCCTGTAAAATCAGTGTAGTCGAATGTGTGTAGAAGAAGCACTGACTGACTCGAACAGTCGAATCTTGTTGCTTATGCTGAGCGGAGCAGATTTTCACACACACATACAGTAATAAACATCTATCTTGCTCTACCGATCCTGCACTTGACATCGATTGCCATCTGTGCCACCTGTAATTGAAACGAAGGCGTCCAGTTGAAAGATGATGGTGACCAGGACTTGTTGTTGTTGCTGATTGGCAGCAATCTTCATCACCTCTGTCTCCACCTTTTCTATACTTCTGACTTGAAGTCGCGTCTTTGCTGCCTCTCCTGCCAACTTGTTGGTTTTTATCGATCGCTAGATTTTCCCAACCGATAGCTGCCACCTTGACGCGGTGGTGGTCGGGCTTGCACATCGCGATGACCCAACAAGCCCCACACTGGCTGGAACCAATGTTCCTGCAGGTCCTACCATGCCAGAAAGGTTGTTAGGATAGCGATTAGACTAAAAGCAGTTACCGGCATTGTGTAAGAATCTCTCTTAGGGCGAAGTCGTACTGCTGAGGAACAGGGGTGTGTAACAGCAGTGAGGTGTTTCCCTCAGATGACCAGCATGCCAGCCAGCTATGGTGTCTCTCCACTCTGGAGAGAGAGGGGGTTAGAAAAGGTCGACCCCAAAAATTGTATATCCCGACTTACCCTAGGCTGTGAAATTACATCGACTGAGTGAGATGGTTAGGACATGTGTTACGCATGCATGCCTAGTCATCGCATTCCTCGACAATGGGCAATGTTAGCTGACATAGGACTGGTTAGGTTGGAAAAAAGAGAGCTAGCCAGTGGTGGTCAAACCAAAACATGACTTCATCATCAGTCAATGAAATCCACAACAGTTAGTCTAAGCCACATAGGAAGGTGTAGACTTCCTGACTGGTTGGGGTCCTCGGGACTTTAAACACCATTGAAGGCTGGAGACAATTGGTGATATGGCCGGCTCAAAATCGTTCTCAATGATGGCTGGCTGGCTGGTGCAGATGCATCCACTCCTCGTGACTTATGATTTCCAATGAAACTGTTGTGTTCTTCGTTATTACAATTCCTTTGTCTCAGCACACCTCTGTTTAGTGTCTCTCTCTATTATGCATTTCTACTTTCTTCTCTTGTTCTGTGTGCTACAAGGAGTGGAGTGTGGCGACTTGAACTGCCGCACATCCGTGGAAAGTTCTATGTCGAAAAGAGACAGACAGACAGACATCGCTAGATTTTAGAGTTCGTGTGACATTAGACGACATAAACCGCCTGTGAAGTTCAAATCTGTTAGGGTCTTCTGGTCCTGTCTTCTCGGCCATCATACACTCATCCAACCTCTCACTCACTCATTCACTGTCTCACGCATGATTCAGTTCATCCACCACAATCACAGGAATATCATCAGTGATGATAGTAGACAACCTTATCAATCCCCTTCTCACTTCACTTCACTTCCCATCAAAGCATCATTACATAGCTATAGCTGTTCACTGAGGTCGATAAATATTTCCGACACTGCACTGCACTCCCTATGCAGTCAGTCTTCAGTCAGTCAGTTGCTGAATTACTTCGTGGTCAACACTGTTGAGTGGCCTTTTGAAAGTTTATCGAATTTCAGGTCGGATGGCTGACTGACTGGCATTTATCGCTCTGCTCAGTGGTTAGTTCTGTGTAGCGTTCCACTTTACTCTGCGTAGGTCTTCCTTGCTTCGAATTCAACTACTTACTTCCAAACGGAGTCTTCCACCCACAGAATTTTACAGACTCCACAGGATAATGTGACTTAATATGTGGTGCTTAGAGTGGACAGGAGCACGATTCTGCGCCAGTTTCTGCAGACGCTATATTATTATTATTATTTTCCCTTGTTTTTCTAGTGAACATAGGGCTTCAACTGCACGTCTCCACTTGCTTCTGTCTTCTGCTGTACTTTTCACCTGCATCCATGTTAGTCCATACTGTTTCAACTCTTCTTCACACGATCTCCTCCATGTCACCCTTGGACGTCCCACTCGCCGCTTCCCTTTCGGGTTCCACTCGAGCGATGGCCTGACGCGCGATGTCACCCAGCGGCCTCCTCAGCGAGTGTCCAATCCATCTCCACTTTCTCCTGCATATTTGTTGGACGATTGGTTCTTGTTTTGTTTGTTTGTTCCCATAGTTTCTTGTTGGTTCTTGTTCTTTCCGGCCATCTGATCTTCAGTATAGAGCGAAGATATTGTAATTACCTGTTGGAAATATTCTTTGTGACCCGCCAAGTTTCAGATCCGTATAGAAGAACTGACTGACTTGACGTTTGTATTGAAAATCCGAATTTTGTTGTTGAGTGTTGCTGAGTGACAGCGGAAGATTTCCAGATTGGTTTCAGGTTGATGAATGTGTTTCTCGCCTTCCCGATTCTCGATTTGACATCCTCGTCCGTTCCACCTACCTGTAGTTGAGACAATGCTCCCTAGCTAGATAAGTGAATGAAGTAACCTCTTTCAAATCCCTCCCGTTGGGATGGTGATTGGCGCTGGATGTTGCTGTTGTTGTTGTTGTTGGTTGGTTGGTTATTTTCATAACCTCTGTCTTGTCTATGTTCACCTGGAGTCCTGTCTTCACCGGCTGCTTCTTCGACCAGTTTGTCGGTTTTCGCTTGTCAGTAAGTCTTCGATTTTGTGTGACATCAAACATAAATCATCCACGCGTGAAATCCAGGTCTTCTAGATTCTTCACGTCGGTCCAGGATATCCCTGTCTTCTCGTTTCCCACTGTCTGACGCATAATCCACTCCACCACAATTAGGAATATCATTAGTGATAATAAGCACCCTTGTCTGACTCCTGTGTTTACTCCAAACGCCTCGCTGAGTTTTCCATTGTGGATCACTTAACATGTGCCGTTGTCGTACAGCTGTTGTTGAATAAGGTTGATAAATATTTGTGATACGCCGTAGTAGTACTCGAGTAGTTTTCAAATTACTTCGCGGTCAACGCTGTATGTCGAAAGCCTTCTCAAAATACATGCAAATACACATTAACAAAGGGGACACTGAATGTGAGTGCTGACCAATAATGTTTAATGATAAAATAAAGAGACTAAATTGTAAATTGTAATAAGGTGTTACCGAATTGGTAGGCTTAGTATAAAATCACAAAGGTTGACAAAATTAAGGGTAACAATGGGGTGAAATAAACTTGGTGGAGAAATGGATAATAATGACGTGATATCACAAAATGATTATAATGGTAATAATAATACGGAAAATTATGATCCTGGTGACCTAATAGTGGGCCAGGGTAGACAGAGAAAGTGAATAAGTTTTTCTGCACACATAAGTCTGGTCTTTCTCTATTAATCTCTAAAGCCTCAGCTATGGCTAGGAGGCGTAATCGTGTGCCTTTGGGGAGATTGTTCGGTACTCGATACACAAGTCATTGTTACCCTTAATTTTGTCAACCTTTGTGATTTTATACTAAGCCTACCAATTCGGTAACACCTTATTACAATTTACAATTTAGTCTCTTTATTTTATCATTAAACATTATTGGTCAGCACTCACACTCAGTGTCCCCTTTGTTAATTAATATGTGTTTGTATGTATTTTGTGGTTATCGCATTTCTCTCACCCCAATGACACTTGTATTCTGCTGACTATAAAACAACACCATATCACCCAACTGTTCATTCACACTTCATCACATTTTTTTCTGACTATATACCCTATACACATTTGATTGACTATGTTAACTAATGGACTATCTACTCAACTTACACATGCACCCTAGTACAGTTTCTGATATTATTTTCACTTGCCTTTATTGGCTATATGTACTCTATTATTCATGGATTTATAAATGTAGAGCCTGAAGAAGAAGTTATCGGAAACAATTGTTTGCTCAAAATCTTGTTTTGATTTCAATATGGGGATATTTCATTTACTAGTTAGTAACTAGTTTAGTATTTCTATTAAGGAAGTTGAGGTAGAGGTTTGATTGCCAGCGATTCCATGCTTTGTTCGATGATGATGATGATGATGCGTAGAGTTGCAATTTGGTCAGAACATGATTTGCCTTTCATGAATCCAGCAGACGCTCAAGTCCCCGTTATTTGGCAGTTTGACAAGAAAACCATTCTTCCTTCATTCCTGCCTCCCTTCCCAACCCTCTGCAACAGTGGGGCGTCAGTATATCCCCAGAATACACTTGCTATCGTGTAAGCAAGTGAATTACTCACTTCGAGGGTGGGTTACTGGGTAAACCAAGAACAACAGTCAGTCTCCCGAGGAAGCAAATATAAGCGCAAGTCATGTGTGAATGAATAAGGTGATTTTGGTTGACATAGTAACAAAAATCGATTGCAAAACAAACAAATGTCAAGTCAAAGTCATCAAGTCAAGTCTTACCGGTACACAACACTTTTGACACCGCCAGCTAAGAATACTGCACGACATCCTCGATTTGTACTGGCCACCAAACATCCTTCCGTGGTAGCCAGGGGGATATAGTGCGATCGACCATCTAACAAAAGAGGACCAATTTTTCCAACTGGTATAGGGACATAACCGATCACCTGAAGATATGTATTCCAGTGAAACAACAATATAGTACAGTTTATCAAGGTTTGAATGAATCAATAATAACAAACATTCATGCGTTGCCAATAGCAACATGTTGAAATAACAGAGAAGATTTGTAGCTCAGGTAGGTGGATGATTTGCAATGAATTAGTAGTGTTCTCTGATGAGCCAGCTGGTTGGTTTAGTTGCGGAGCTTTCGTCATCCACCCCTGCTTGCTGGACAACATCCCCCTTCAGCGCAATATTTAGCATAAAGTGAAATGATTTAAATTTCTTCATGAGTGGTGATATAATTGCGTCTCCTGGTAACTATCTTTACATATGTATTGACCATTTTTATTATTGACTTGGATTTTAAACTTTCTCGTCACATGATTTACTTTTTATTAGTTGGTATATTTGGTCTATATTAACGTGTTTGTTAATTGCATATTCGTTTGAGTACCAGGCTTCTAGGAATTCCCTGACTCCACTTTTAGTGTTTCCTCTGTCTAAGATTTTGACATTATCCCAATCAAATTGATGACCATAATTGTCTGTATGCATTGATATGAAACAGGAATATATATCATGTCTTTTCACAGCTGATTTGTGTTCTTGGATTCTGATTCGACGCCCTGGGGACGCCCACTTTGGTCGATGTAATGCTTGTTGCAGTTCATACATGCAATTTATTTTGCAAATGGTATTAATTTTATCTCCTTTTTCTGTTGGATCTTTTGGTTTGCATAAAATCGAATTAAGCGATTTGACTGGCTTGTGTACCAAATTTATATTAGAATCGAATTAGAATTAGAATCCAAGAACACAAATCAGCCGTGAAAAGACATGATATATATTTCTGCTTCATATCAGTGCGTATACATCATTATGGACATCAGTTTGATAACTGGTCTTCTTTGTTCTCTCCTGTTTGTTGTCACTGTGGTAGTAGAATTTTCCAGATGTCCGAGTAGACAGGTGTCGAATCATTCCTATTGCAGGGACGTATTTGCAGTTGATTCGATAAACAAAGCTTCTTTTATCAATCTCTCCCTCCCTGCAACCACCCTGTCATCCTATCCCATCCAGCCTATTGTATGATTGTGTGTGTGTAATTGCATGCAGTGCTTGCGATAGCTGCTCAATTATTTTCTAGATTTCTTATCTTATTCGGGTCAACCAATCTAGATTTTGCTGTTAGGTGTTTATGCTGCTCGGCTAGTCTGACTCACTGACTGACCCTGTTCTACTACTTTGACCTATGTATTTGACCTGACAATCATCGGAGGCAGGGTATTAGATAAACTGAATTGTTTTGTCGGTTAAAGGCTCCACAGGATTGATCCTTTAACCGACAAAGCTTGTTTCTAATTGAGTTTGTGGTTGGTTTGAATTCCAGCCACTTTTATTCCTGTCTGCCTTGTTAAGAATTCTCCGCTGTAAGGTGGTTTCCGAGGTTCCTTCCTTGTATGGAATTACTACTGATGATTTAGATTCCTTATTGTTGGTGTTGTCTTGCGCATGTTTGACATGCATGTCGTCGTTAATATTATTATTATTATTATCACTACTATCATTATTTTATTTTTACCTTTCCCTACATACTTTCTGACTAATTTATCAGAGTAATTATTAAGTTTCAAAGCTTCTCTCATATGCTTCACTTCCTGTCTTAGATTTTCCTTGGTATTACTACTTAGTTTTTGTGCTCTATTGTCACTTAAACATTTCACCAATCCTATTTTCACTGACATAGATCGAATGGGATGATCGGAAGTCCAAATATCTGTTTGAATGTGTGGCTTTCCTGTAAACACACACACTAGCGTGTTTAACTTCCCATCTTCTTTCCTTTTCACACTACAATCTAAAATTGGAAGTTCCCTGAGTTCCTGACTTTCTAATTCATCATAAGTGAATTGGATTCCCTCGACATTTGAGTTAATGTGTTTGAAAAATTTATCTATATCTTGTGTTCGAAGTACAGTGAATGAATGTGTCATCTACATACACCTCCACCATACTTTTGAGGTGGGTGGGGGTGAATGTTTCAATCGCCATGTTTTCCCAACTATCTATGAATATATATATATATATATACAAATCAAACATGTGAATTTCTACAGGACCGAGCCTGGAATGTGCTGACCTGTGGATGACGTACACCACCACCACCCGCGCGACCACGACATAGTAATGAGGATGATGATAATATTTATAAGGATATCTGCATCCTATCCATTATTATATTAGAACAGATCAACTCTACAGTGTTGTTGTGTTCACAGTGTTTGAAAGTTATTCAACATTAGTATACACAGAAAGACACATGCACACATACACACATACAATACAATACATTACATTACGTAACATTGCCTGCTCACCTCTTCACAACACTGACCATGCACTAATCGATAATCATAATCTCGATATGGGATACGTTCAATGACATGTGGATTGCTACTGAGACTGGCTGATAAATCCAAACGTCGAAGTTCAACAGCTCTTGTTGGATTCGACACCACGGATTCTAATTCACGTGTTTTAAGTCGTCCATATGAGATTAACTGTAAAATCTCCAGATCGGATAGTTCATGTCCTAAACCCTAAAGACAAACAAAAAACAAATAATTGATCGGTTGTGTGTGTGTGTGTGTTTATATGCATACATATACATGAAAAAGAAATAACTCAGTGTAAGACAATAATAAAAATATTCATCAACTTTATTCAACAACAGCTGTACGACAACGAACGGTACATGTCAAGTGATCCACAATGGAAAACTCAGCGAGGCGTTTGGAGTAAACACAGTAGTCAGACAAGGGTGCTTATTATCACCAAATGATATTCCTAATTGTGGTGGACTGGACTGGATTATGCGTCGTCAGACAGTGGAAAACGAGAAGACAGGGATATCCTGGACCGACGTGAAGAACCTAGAAGACCTGGATTTCGCGCGTGGATGATTTATGTTTGATGTCACACAAAATCGAAGACTTACTTACAAGCGAAAACCGACAAACTGGTCGAAGAAGCAGCCAGTGAAGACAGGACTCCAGGTGAACATAGACAAGATGGAGGTTATGAAAATAACCAACCAACCAACAGAACAACAACAACAGCAGCAACATCCAGCGCCAATCACCATCAACGGGAAGGATTTGAAAGAGGTTACTTCATTCACTTATCTAGCTAGGGAGCATTGTCTCAACTACAAGAGGAACGGACGACGAGGATGTCAAATCGAGAATCGGGAAGGCGAGAAACACATTTATCAACCTGAAACCAATCTGGAAATCTTCGTCACTCAGCAACACTCAACAACAAAATTCGGATTTTCAATACAAACGTCAAGTCAGTCAGTTCTTCTATACGTATGGATGAGAAACTTGGCGGCGGGTCACAAAGAATATTTCCAACAGCCTGTTGCAGACCTTTATCAACAACAACTGTCTTCGCTGGCATCATACTGAAGATCAGATGGCCGGAAAGAACAAGAATCACCAACAAGAAACTATGGGAACAAACAAACAAAACAAGAACCAATCGCCCAACAAATATGCAGGAGAAAGAGGAGATGGATTGGACACTCGCTGAGGAGGCCACTGGGTGACATCGCGCGTCAGGCCATCGCTCGAGTGGAACCCGAAAGGGAAGCGGCGAGTAGTTGGACGTCCAAGGTTGACATGGAGGAGATCGTGTGAAGAAGAGTTGAAACAGTATGGACTAACATGGATGGAAGTGAAAAGTACAGCAGAAGACAGAAGCAAGTGGAGACGTGCAGTTGAAGCCCTATGTTCCACTAGGAACCCAAGGGAACAATAATAATATAATAATAATAAAAATAATAATGACAATTTATATTTTAGCGAATTACAATGATGAAACTAGACAACAACAGTAGATAGAGGACAACGCCGACGACGACAGCGGTAAATGAAACAAGGCTTTCATCATCATCATCATTTTGTTTTGTTTTGGTGTTTCGGCGTTCCTGTTCTTCTTCTGCTGTGGATTGGTTGGTTGGTTGGTTGGATGCTTCATCTCATTTGACAAGGTGTCCTTCACTCTGTCCTTCTGAACAACTTCGTTCAACAAGAAATTCAACTTTGACAATGAAGTAAGTAAGTGAGTAAGCACTGGAGGTGTTGTTCACAAGGCGCTGATGATGGTGATGATGAAAGCAGCTTGGCAATTTAACCAACCAACCAACCGTTCAACTCAGAGAAGAAGATGAAGAGGAAGAACACTGAAAGCATCCATCCATCCAGCAATCGGAGTTATAAATCTTCTTCTGTCACAGTTCCCAAGGAATCCATTCAACTTCATTTACCATGTATGCAGGCAACAAAACCTGCCGGTCAAACAAATCTGCACGACAGTACGGACTAGAATTCCTTTGTGGGTAAAATTTGTTTTGATAAAGTTTCACAGTGTTGTTATACTACAGTAATATTTACTGATGACCACGTACGTTTCGAGTACAATTCGCATGACTGCTCATAGTCATATCACGGCACTACTTACACAACTCTCGAACTTCGTTTATATAATTCCATCATTATTTTTCATCGCTTGACTTGATGATTGGTAGTAGTGGTATTTTCCATGTATCCGGTATGAGTGATGAGTCATTCGTATTGCATGTGTTGGGTGTAGACTCGATGAACCAGGCAGGATTCAGTAATCAACCTCTCTCTCTCTCCACCTACCTAGATTACTTCTTAGAATTTTAACCTTCTCCCACCATGCCATTGTGTGGTTATGTGTTAATGCTTTTTTCTAAATTACTTATCATCGCGAGTGTCAACCATTTAAACCGTAGCTGAATTCTTATATTTCGACAATCTGACTACCCACGATCTACCAGTTTCACGTATGTAGGTAGTTGACCTAACTGACAGTCAGTCATTGCAGGGTATTTTGTAAATGATATTATTTTGCAAAAGAATGGATAGATAGTTAACAAAGAATATAAATACTCTTTTCGATAACCCCTTCATCATCATCAGGCTCTACAGTTATATATCTATCCATCCATCATAGTGAATGAAGGAATGAATGAATTAGTGTTATGAACAACAACATGAATGTTGCTGTTTAAATAACATCGAATCAATAATAATAATAATACCAATGGATTACAGTTCAATAGCATCAACATAACAATACACACTGAATGTCAGTTGAATTAGGAGAGATAATATTACAAATTCATGAATTGATAGTCTCCGCCCAATAAAGGCCAGCCAGAGCAGTAGTAGTGGCTAGCTGGCTGGACTTGCTTCTTCTCCACACACAGAGCACTCACTCACTGGTTGTTTGAGGCGAATTGCAATAGCCTCTGGTGTTTGGAGCATGTGGTGGGTGCTTCGATGATAATTTTGTCAATTTATTAGGCACCCGGTAGATGATGATAGAGAAGGATGGATTCTTCCACGCTGGCTGGCTGACTGGCTTTGTGGCCGGCCGGCCGGTTTGCACCAGATGGTCCAATATCGAACTGTTGATGACGGTTTTCACTACACCTTTACTTAGCCATACTGGGAGATGTTCTCGAGCGAGTGAGCATGAAAAATCAAGTTCCTAGAGCAACAACGGTCAATATAACTCGCTCCACCACAAGCACAAGCACAGTTGCAGTTGAATTGGTAGATACAATTTGAATTGGCCAGCTAGTCTAGTTTAGGTACTTCATCTTATTTTATTATTATTATTTTTTCAATTGGATCAACCGATAGGGTCCTACAGAGGCTGCAGAGCTTGTCCTACCTGAGTGAGTGAGTTTGTAGGTTTAAATGCCACCAGTGTGTTTTACAGTAATATTAACTGATGACGTTTCGAGCGCAAATTATTGCTCATAATCATATCAAGTTACCCACACAAATTTTACCTTCACTTATTCTACGTAGGGAGTGAGTGTCTCAGATGTCCCCTCCTTATCGGTATATGGTATAACTGCTGTAGATGCCTTATATTCTCTCTCTCTTATTTATGTTAGTTATCATTATTAGTCTCACCATTATAATTTTTATTTCGCTTTCCACCTTTTCTCATCTTCCTAATGAATTTTATAGGATAGTTAGTTAGTTATTTGACACCAACGCTTCTTCTATCTGTTTTAGTTCATCATTTAGGCCTTTTCTTGTACTACTTAGTGCTACAGCTCGGTTTGTTAGACACTTAACTCAGCTTAACTTAACTGGACTAAGCCTGCCTTCACAGACAGTGAACAGATGAGATGAGATGAGATGAGATGAATTACAGTCTAAATATCGATTAGCAGAATGCGTTGCCCCTTTTGTTTTCTTTTTGAGATGAACGCTGATGTCCACTCTACCCACCTACCTAACTTCTTTTATTCCATTTTATTACTTTACAATTACTTCACAAACATCACAGCTAATTCTCTTTCTGCTGGTTGTTGTTGTTCTGTTTCCGATATGAATTCTACAGAAAATGCTAAACAACCAACTAATGTAATGAGGTTGACCAGACAGACAGTCCACCTGAATGAATGAAGAATGCCGAAACCTTCATTATTATTATTTTAATTAATTAATTAAGAATATTCTTTTCAATAATTTGTCTGGACATAAGTTCAAGGATGACAATAACGAAAATATTAATGATTGTCAAATTATAATAATAATATTCATATTAATAATATTGATGATAATAAAAAGGAATTTAGTGAAGTGAAATGAACAGGATTTTGTAAATACGATAAGAAGTTAGCAAAGCACCAGTGAAACCTGAGTGAATAGAAATTATAAGAAGGGTGATGAAATCACCTCATATAAGGTCTAAATTGAACGTTTGTCAATGAAACATTGAAGGAATAGAAGAAGGTGAGAAGAAACTTGTGATGGGAATTTGAAGTGCTTATGTTGTTTATGGAGGATTTGTTGGCCTTATCACAATAGGCCAAGGTAAACACATAACGGTTGAACATACTTCTTGTGTGTATACAAAGAGTGTCGGTCTTCTGGTAATGCTTGGAACCGCTTCAGCCACTCACTGGTAGAAGACGTAGTCGACCTACTCTAGATATATGGTGAGGAAGGCGGTGCTCTAAACTAAATGGCTTTCTATCAGAAATCAGCCAGTGGTCCAAGGAAAACGGTCTTACCTTAAATCCCTCTAAAAATGTCAAACAGTCAATTTCACCTAGAGGCATAAATCTGACTTAAACAAACTGGTTAGCTCTCACGAGGTGTGTGCAACATAGATGACACTGAAATGGAGACTAAGTCAGAAACTAAATATCTTGGCGTCATTTATATCTGCTGATCTTTCCTGGTCGTCTCATATCTTGACGATTTCTAAGAAAATATTCTGTCTCATCTTCTACATCAAGAAGTTAAGACATTCTGGAATAACCCAACCCAACCCAATCCTTACACTTATGATTCGTTAACTCTTGCATCCTGCCTATTATTCTCTATTGTTCCCCCTTAGTTTTTCCAGGGCTACTGAAGAAAGACTATATCTTATTACGCAGGATGTTAAAGGTTGTCAGCAAGGTAAGCAATGTGCCACTTAACCAGCTTGTTAATATTCTGGTCGACACGACAGACACTTGGACTCATGTGAAAAATGGGCCAAATCCATTTTATCTAACTCACACCACCCTCTTCACTCACAACTCTCCTCTTGTATATCTCATCAGGCAGGACCAGAAGCCTGTATAGAAAACTATAAGCTCGCACTACCAAGTACAAAAACTCAACCATACCCTACTTGGATCGTGTTCTGTGCGATAAAGAAAGCATTAGGCGTGACACCTATAATTCATTAAATAGTCAGTAGTACAACTGGATCTCGTCTTTCCAACTCATATCATTTATAGTTACAACGTTTTCTTACTTTCTTTCTTTTCCTTTTCTCTCTCTCTTTTTCCGTTATGTGCTGCTTTGTTTCTTTCTTCCGCTTACACCAGTAAATATGACAGCATCTACTTTTCTAACACCTTCAAACACTGTTCAGCTTTGGTTTTGCTACCGACATGCCAATATGCTGTTGTCATAATGAACTGAGATTTCCTTAATCTATGTAGAATTCTATTTATTGATAATGTACTAACTGGATGCAATACTGTGGTGAAATGCTGAGAATTCCATTCTGTATCACAAGTACTGTTTTGGAATAAAGCAAATTATTATTATTATTATTAACTGAGAACGCCTGGTCAAGTTCTATCGAGTATCCAGTATCTACCAAGTGTACTTAGTGTTTATCAAAATAAATTTTACCCACTATGGAATTATACTCTACCACGGTGCACAAGTTCTATTCTATTCTTATGGCATACACTATAATTTTAGATTTGCAATCCACTACAGAATTTAAGATATTATTATTATTGTTTCCTTTAATTCCTAGAGGAACATAGGGCTTCAGCCGTGTTTTGTTGGGCGAGATCGCCTCCCATTGCATCAGGACCTTCGTTGCCGTTGGTGAAATCATGATAGCCAAGCCCTCCGTGTGTATGTGCTTATCCTCTGGGTGACCGGAGTAGAACACTGACTCACCCGTTGACAATTTCGTGAGCCCATTCCCGTTCCATCTGCTTTCATATATCCCCAGTACTTGAATTCCGTATCTTTTCATTTCATGGTGCGGACATTCCATGTCCCCACACAGACTTTTTCTTTTGGCGCAAGGAGATTCATCGTGCTGAAGTTTCTGTAGCAGCTTTGTGTACAGGGTGGGATTGCTAGCCTCACGCCTGAGAGGGGGAGAGAGAAAAGGTTAGTGTTGCGTGACCGCAGAGCCCAGGGGACAACTGCTTGAGGCCGGTCAAACACGGCCTGTTTTCGTTTGTTCTTTCTTGTTTGGTGTGTCTCAGTAGCATACTTATCACTTCTGCCCTGTGACACAGCAGCAGGAATCCGGGCCCCGACCGATCCGGCATGATATTTTGTGAATTTGTTTGAATCATAGTATTGGATTGGGTAGCTGTTTTTTGTCTAACCGCTATCCAAACAACCTTTCTGGCATGATAGGACCTCAAGCGACATAAGTCTCAGCCAGTGTAGCTCGTTGGGTCATTGCGATATGCAAGTCCGACCACCACGTCAAGGTAGCAGCTATCGGTCGGGCAGAATTTAAGAGTCCTAGTAGTTTTAAGCATCGCTGATTTCCAACCTAATGCTTTCTATTTGTTTTGCTGAAACTCAGTTTCTTGATACCAAGTTATGAGATGCACTTATTGTCTTATTGGTTATTCGTATTAGTACTAAACAGTCTCCCGCCATAGGCTGAGCTAGTTTGACATGAGATTAGAATCATGGAGTAAACTGGCTGACAATCGGATGTTTAAGCCAATCAACCTCCTACTTATCCATCCAATTTTGTGCGCCGAAAACATCAAGACACAATGAAAATAGAACAGAACAGAACAGAACAGAAGGATTACGACATGACTAGTCAGGCTGACATATATCCAACACTATAACCACCTCCTGACGGAAACTAGAAGATCGGTGAAACAAAAATAGGTAGGTGGGCTTATGAAAGAGTACACTTACTCTACGCTAGTCACTTACTCACTTAACGTTTACAATTCATTAATATAATAATAATAACAATAATAATTTGCTTTATTCCAAAACAGTACTTGTGATACAGAATGTTCTAAGCGACAGAGACAATGTTAAGCGTGAAACCTATGACTTGCTCTGTTATTCACAACATAATTTTAGGCTCTTTTATTTCTCTCTTATTTTGTATTCTTTAGTGAACTCCTTCAAACATACTTAGCTACCTAAATTATTAACATCGGCTTACTTTTTTGTACTTTATTCCTTCTTTTGTGTATCTACTGGTTCCGACTATATTTAGCACTGTGAGTATTACAAAATTCTCCTGTCATTAACCATCATGTAATTATTAGTTTTGTGGTTGTTTTTTTCTTATTTTCTATACTTTTCGGCAATATTAAACTGACAATCATTGGTTGTGAACGCCATAGTCACCACCTTAAAAAATTTTGTATTATTCAAGATTACTCACACTACCACTACAAACACTGCATTAGACTTTGGTAGACTTTGGTACTTTTTCGCATTTATAATTATTTTGTGTTTATCCTGTTTTTTTTTGCTGTTGGTGTCTTCAGATTTATTTTTTTGTTTGTTTAATACTTATTTTAAATGTCGGTAAAATTAGATGCAAATATTGTAGATATGTGCTGAAAATTCCACACTGTACCACTAGTACTGTTTCTGGAATAAAGCATATTATTATTATTATTATTACTATTACTATTATTAATTCTCAACATTTCACTGCAGTATTGCGCATCCAGTTTGTGTACATTAACAATAAATAAAATTCTACATAGATTATGGGTAGTCTCAGTTAGTTTTTGACAACAACATATTAGCATATCGGCAGCAGCAAAGCCAAAAGTGAACAAAGTGTTTGAAGGTGTTAGAAAAGTAGATACACTAGCATATTTACTGGCGTAAGCGGTAACACAAAAAGGTCGAGATATACAGAGTGTGTGAAAGAACGAAGAAGAATGTTTTAAGTAGAGTTTGTAAGGAAGAAAGAAACAAAACAGCACATAACACAAAAAAAGAGAGAAAAGGAAAAGAAGGAAAGAAAGAAAACGTTGTACCTATAAATGATATGAGTTGGAAAGACGAGATCCAATTGTTCTACTGACTATTTAATGAATTATAGGTGTCACGCCTAATGCTTTCTTTATCGCACAGAACACGAGCCAAGTAGGATATGTTTGAGCTTTTGTACTTGCTAGTGCGAGCAGATATAGTTTTCTACATAGGCTTCTGTTTCTGCCTGATGAGGTATACAAGGGGAGAGTTGTGAATGAAGAGGGTGGTGTGAGTTAGATAGATAGAATGGATTTAGCCTTCATTTTTCACATGAGTCCAAGTGCCTGTCGTGTCGACCAGAATATTCACGAGCTGGTTAAGTGGCACGTTGCTTACCCTGCTGACAAACCTTTAACACCCTACGTAATAAGATATATGGTCCTTCTTCAGTAGCCCTGGGAAAACTAAGGGGGAACAATAGAGAATAATAAGCAGGATGCAAGAGTTAACAAATCGTAAGAGTAAGGGTTGGGTTATTCCAGAATGTCTTAACTTCTTGATGTAGAAGGTGAGACGGAATATGTTTTCTTAGAAATCGTCAAGATATGAGACGACCAGGAAAGGTCGTGAGTGCTAACCAGTTTGTTTAGATCGGATTTATGCCTAAACGTGAATTTGACTGTTTGGTATTTGGAGGGGTTTGAGTTAAGACCGTTTTCCTTGGACCACTGGCTGATTTCTGATAAAAAAAGCCATTTAGTTTGGAGCAGTCACTTTGACACCTGACAGGCAAAGAAAGATACAGTCAGGTCGTCAGCATATTTAACAAAATTAATGTCATTTGAAGATGGTAAGTCATGTATATATGTATATATATGTACATATGTATATGCGTCGGTGGCACAGTGGTTATGACTCTCGCCGACCATGCACATGGTCCGGGGTTCGATCCCCTGCCGACGCACACCCGATATCTATGGTCGGCCTGCAAAATTTGGGCTACCGATATCCAAGCTGAAAATTCCATACTTCTACCGAAAGTACTGTGTGGAATAAAGCTGTAATCAAAAATAAAAAAATAGCATGTTTACCTGTTTTATCTTTTCGGTGAGTACATCCAAATCGACGAATAAACCAGGCGTGGTGGTGGATTCATTGTCATTTCTGTTGGTACTGACAGACGACAGAACATGTACAAACTCCTTTTCAATATCATCCCCGTCTTCCTAGGAGGTAATTAAGCATTTTTTTTATTTGGACAAATCATATTACTATGTGTGTGTGTGTGTGTGAATTTCATTTCTACTTTAATAATGAAATGAAATAAAAACAACTGTGTTAAATATTGATTTTAAGAAACTTCTCATCGAGATAAGCACCGACACAACATGAAATAGGGAAAACAAACAATTTCTTCGTGGGGTGTCAGCGTCCGTGTCAGCCTTCGACGTCCCACTCGCCGCTTCCCTTTCGGGTTCCACTCGAGCGATGGCCTGACGCGCGATGTCACCCAGTGGCCTCCTCAGCGAGTGTCCAATCTATCTCCACTTTCTCCTGCATATTTGTTGAGCGATTGCTTCTTGCTTTGTTTGTTTGTTCCCATAGTTTCTTGTTGGCGATTCTTGTTCTTTCCGGCCATCTGATCTTCAGTAAAGAGCGAAGACAGTTGTTGATGATAAAGGTCTGCAACAGGCTGTTGGAAATATTCTTTGTGACCCGCCACCAAGTTTCTCATCCTTACGTATAGAAGAACTGACTGACTTGACGTTTGTATTGAAAATCCGGATTTTGTTGTTGAGTGTTGCTGAGTGACGAAGATTTCCAGATTGGTTTCAGGTGGATGAATGTGTTTCTCGCCTTCCTGATTCCCCATTTGACATCTTCGTCCGTTCCTCCTGTTGTTGATACAATGCTCCCTAGCTGGATAAGTGAATGAAGTAACTTCTTTCAAATCCCTCTCGTTGATGTTGATTGGCGCTGGATGTTGCTGTTGTTGGTTGGTTGGTTGGTTATTTTCATAACCTCCGTGTTGTCTATGTTCACCTGGAGTCGAGTCTTTGCTGCTTCTTCGACCAGTTTGTGACGAAGATTTCCAGATTGGTTCCAGGTTGATGAATGTGTTTCTCGCCTTCCCGATTCTCGATTTGACATCCTCGTCCGTCTTCATAGAATCTAAGCGTATATATATATATATATGTTTCTTTACCCGTGTCGTTTCATAGCAAGCTCTAAACTGTTACCAGTATTAGAGCCGGGAGAGGGATAGAGCATATTTCAATGCAAGCAGAGTCAATCTCTGTAAACAGCGCCTCCTCCACTCTCTGTCCTGATTTTTTTTCCGTTATCTTAATAACCGAAGCAGACCACATCCCTTGGCATCTCCCCGGGGCTATGAAATCAGAAACATCTTATTAGGACTCTTGCGCATCGGAGACATCCTAACATGTCTCGTGTAAACGAGATCCTCCCTCCAATCCACGATTCACACAACCTCGCTTCATCATATACACCTTGGTGGTGACAGCGTATGCCCTTACGACTGTCCTATTAGGGTCACCAAGGTCTTATGACCCACACTGGCCTTCATTCAGTCCACATACATACTACGGTCTGTCCAACCTCTGTCACTACATCTACTCTGCCTGCCCGGGACCCCGCACCCGCATACAGCCAAGGGACAGACAGAATATGGACAAGAGGTCAGATCGTATGGTTCCACGCGGCGACCCTGCAGAGTAACAGACTTGCCACCACACCAACGTTCCACTCAGGGACAAACATATTACACTGCTCTGCAAGCATACACGTGGGACCTTACAAACATACCCAAGCAGGTCGCCCGGCCGACATGGCGTCACATCATCTCAGTCGATGATTTCCCCGCCTTACCTAGCACTCGACGCCTAACCTCAATATTGCTCACCTTATTATACCACCAACTAACACAGGAGATAGAACGCAGACACCTATGATCAAAGACAGCTAATCAGCCTTTTCATGTCTTCTACTCTCAATGGCCAGGTCTCACAGCTAGCCAGAAAGGAGGACGGAGCGGACTGTTGAGCAGTACACACGCCCTTTGGTCGATAGTCGGATATCACGTCTACTAAGCCAGAGACGGCGTTAACTGGCATATGCGAAACTAGATGATGAAAGAGGACAGACAGACATTTGTTCTATCTATCTATCTATCTTCCATAAACTCGTCGTCGTAGGATCAGATTTCATCCGATTTCGGTTGAAATACATTCAAAACAACAACAACAACAAAAACGGAACAACGAAACACTTACCTGAGTGTCACAGTAAATCCGTTTTCTTCTTCTTACTGGTCGTCGTCGTTGTTGGATTGGTGGTACACTGTCGCCTTCTTCTTCCTCTTTTTCTTCTTTTACATTATTATTCAATTCCACTGGAGGAAGCTTTTCTATCTGATCTGTAAGTAGGACATCACTCTGTACAGGCAGATTTAAATTAAGCAACTCTGAACGAATTGATTTATGCAATCTAATCCGCCGGTAGAGTAGAAGGACACCAACGAAACAATAGCTAAGCAAAGTGATATTTTTAAGTTGAAACAGGCTAAACACCAGCAGATGGTAGATGCTACTATGGATACCATCAAGGGATAAATCATCAAGCAAGACAGGAGGAGGAAGAAGCGCTTCTCCATGGTCATCACCACTCGATGATGATGATTTGTGCTCAACAGGAGTAATCCACTGAGAGCAAAGATGATTAACATGCAGGATGATTATCAAACCGATAATGACTATTATAATAGCAGTATGATGGATTCCATGTGGACCATTCGGCTGCTGTTGCTGCTGCTTCTTCTGCTTATTATGACAATTCCCAAGGCTATTGATATTATCTACAGGTCGACGTTTCGCATGCGAACAGGAGCAACACCAGGCGTCTGAACACGAATCATTATGCGTATGCGTTGGACAGCTGCACAGATTCCGACTAAATAAGAAAGAGACAAAGACAAATATTATATTATATTATATTAGAGAGTACTACTACATATAAAAAAGTATACACGAAATATGCAAATCAATTTTCAAATAATATTTTGATTTCAATAAGTAGGCAGGTAGGTAGGTCTGTCTGTCTGTCTGTCTGGATTCAACAAAGAACTTGCCATCGAAGTGCAACAATTCGAGTTGCCACCTTCCAAATACCACACAAAGGTAGACAAGAAGATGGATGAGTGAAGAGAATCAATCAATAGAGTTTTGACAAGTATGACAAGAGTGAAACAGACAGAATGAGTAATGGTGGTAGAAAGGAATATGAAAGATTACACAAGAGACTGAATACATTTGCGTAAGCCATTGATTGACAACGATTTTGAGCCATGTATGTCACCTATTGTCTGTCTCCAGCCATTGATTGATTCTTAGAGTCCCGAGGGCGGGCCCCAACCAGTCAGGAAGTCTGCATCTCCCTCCCTACCTGACTGACTCAGTTTAACTGTCAAGGATTTCATGGATTGATTGATGAGGCCATGTTTTTGTTTGGCATGTCACCACTTACTCTTTTCCAACCTGCACCTATATATCAGCTAGTAATGCCCGTCGGGAGGGGGAGGCGATGGTTAGGCATGCGCAGCACGTCACCTAGCCATCTCAATCTATGTAACTTTATAGCCTCGTCGATTGATTTTCCGTCTTTGCCCAACACCCTACGCCTAACGTCGACATTACTTACCTTATCATGCCACCTAACGTGAGAAAGAGATCGTAGACATCTATGATCAAAAACAGTCAACCTTTTCATGTCTTCAACTCGTATTGGCCATGTTTCAGAGCCAGCCATAGAGAAGGACGAAGCGAACTGCTGAGCAGTACACACAGTCTCTTGGTTGATAGCCGGATGTCACGCCTACGCCAGAGACGGTGTAAGTTAGCGAAAGCAACTCGAGCTTTTTGGATCCGTGCTGAGATTTCGATGCCAATCAGTCCGTTGGTGCTGATACAACTTCGCAAATAGGTGAAGTGGCCAACATGTTCTATCACTTCACTCCCTATCACTAAGCTAGAGGTAGACGTAGTCCAGTCCTGTAGCAGCATCTTACATTTTACAGGGGCGAATCGCATGCCAAACATACGAAGATTGCTGCTGCTTGATAGGTAGGTGATAGCCATCAAGCAGTTAGAAATGAAAGTCCAGTTGATAGGAAGTCTGTTGGGGCGTAGTAAGCGGAGACTACGCAAAAGGCAACGACGGGTAGCGCCGTCTTTCCTTCTTTTAACGGACCCATTCAGACGGACCGCACACATACGACTATCTCTCCTGGGATCCAGTCAAGAAGTGATTTTTCCTAACACTCAGTGCTATCCCTACACCTGCGAGTCCTCGCGAGCTAGCTGAGGGGTCTCCTGACACCCTTAAAAGGAATTTTGCAGATTCACCTTGTTGACCGGGTGAGGTCAACTGAATGACCACACTCGGGTCTTGTATTCGTGTCTCCGAAACACAACATACATCCATGGCTCTAGATTCCAGAGTTCTTGCTAGTGATGCCTGTTATCCGATTTGGCAGAGGGTTCTGACGTTAAAAGCTCCTATATGAAGTTGGCGACGTGGCTTCAGAAGGCTATCTGGGGTGTTTCTATGGCTCTCACCTTTGTTTGTGGACACAGAGTGAAGTGAAGATGACTCACTAGCCTGCAGAATAGTGCTAACTGTAGTAGAGAAGCAAGATGAGGAAGGTGATGTGAGTAAGGGAGAGTGATGCTCAGGAAGGCTTCGTGTGCTTTTGGAAGTGTGTGGGCGGTTGTTACTTCCCGGCTGCCCACACCGTGGAAGTTGATTAATTCTTCGGGAACCTGAAACAGAAACAGTGTTGCGTGACCGCACAGCCCAGGGGACAACTGCTTGAGGCCGGTCACACATGACCTGTTTTTGTTTGTTCTTTTTTATTTGGTGTGTCTCAGTAGCATATTTATCACTTCTGCCCTGTGACACAGCAGCAGGAAGCGCGGTCGTTGTTAATCCGGACCCCGACCGATCCGGCATGATATTTTGTGAATTTGTTTGAATCATAGTATTGGATTGGGTAGCTGCTTTTTGTCTAACCGCTATCCAAACAACCTTTCTGGCATGGTAGGACCACTCAAGCGACATAAGTCTCAGCCAGTATAGCTTGTTGGGTCATCATTGCGGTGTTCAAGCCCGACCACCACGTCAAGGAAGCAGCTTTCGGTCGGGTAGTTGATAGGAACCAATGAAATGTATAATGACACAGGGACAGGGATAAAAGCTACGACTGAGTAACATTTAAGTGTTGGTTTGTAGGGATTTGATTGATTTTTTACAGAAATTCATCATGAGCTGACATTGGTTAGAGAACCATTGGAAAACCTGGGACAGCTGTTTCGTCCTAGTTTGGGACTCTTCATCAGTACGCACCCAAACTGCGAGGTTCCAAACCAGGACCTATTGGTTACAAGGCGAGCTTGTAGACCATTAAGCCACTGGTAACCGATCCAATGGCCAGCCTGCATGAATTCTAACTTCTGCCAATTCATGAAATAGCGCGACCACTAGCGAATATCTTCGGCGAGTATTTATCCTCACACCGGACTTGCTGTACCCAACTGCCCACGAGTAACATTTACCAGGCGTCTACACTGACTGAGCGTGCCAATCACTAAATACTGCTTTGTAAACCACATTACAGAGTATGTTAACAATTACTCCAGCCTCTAACATGACAATTCATCTTATAATATACAAACTTTTCATTCGATTTAGTTAGTGAAGGGCAGATACTCTTATTATTATTATTAATACTATTATGAGTTAATCAAATGGTTAGTTTTGACATTGTCAGTTTATACACACGTATACCAATAAATATGGCTATGGAGGCAGTCAGAAACGCGCTCATCATTTCTGACCAAGAACTCGAACTTAGGACAAAAGTGCCACTTGAAGACATAATGCTGGCTGGGAATGCAGCTATGCCTGACTTCCACAGTATTTAAATTCCAAGGGAAAATATACAAACAAACTGAAGGAGTTGCCATGGGATCACCAATATCCCCAGTGGTAGCAGATATATTCATGAATAAGTGGGAAAGCATAGCGATTGAAACGTTCAGCCTCATCCACACCACAAAAGTATGGTGGAGGTATGTGGATGACACATTCATTCACTGTACTTGGAACACAGGATATAGATAGATTTTTTGGACACATTATAACTCAAAGGTGGAGGCAATTCAATTCACTTATGATGAATTGGAAAGTCAGGAAGGGGAGCTCCCAATGTTAGATTGCAACGTAAAGAGGAAAGAAGATGGGAAGTTAAACACTAGTGTTTACAGGAAACCCACACACTCCAACAGATATTTGGACTTCCGATCGTCCCATCCTATGTCAGTAAAAATAGGATTGGTGAAATGTTTAAGTGACAATAAGGCACAAAAACTAAGTAGTACCAAGGAAAATCTAAAACAGGAACTGATACACATAAAAGAAGCTTTGAAACTTAATAATTACCCGGATAAATCAGTCAAGAAATATGTAAGGAAATGTAAAAATAAAATAAATAATGATAGTAGCGATAGTGATAATAACAATAATAATGATAATAATAATAGTGATAATAATAATAATATTAATGACGACACCAATAATAAGGAATCTAAATCATCAGTAGTAATTCCATACAAGGAAGGAACCTCGGAAACCACCTTACGCAGAATTCTTAACAAGGCAGGAATAAAAATGGCATTCAAACCAACCACAAACTCAATTAGAAACAAGCTTTGTCGGTTAAAGGATCATGTAGAGCTTTTAAAACAAAACAATTTAGTTTATCTCATACCCTGCAATGATTGTCAGGTCAAATACATAGGTCAAACTAGTAGAACAAGGGCAGTCAGACTAGCTGAACATAAAAACCTAGCAGAAATCTAAATTGGTTGACCCGAATAAGATAAGAAATCTAGAGAATAGTTCAGCTATAGCACTGCATGCAGTCACACACAACCATACAATAGGCTGGATGGGATAGGATGACAGTTTTAAAATCTAATGTCACAGGGTATAGGGAGAGATTGATAACAGAAGCTTTGTTTATCGAATCAACTGCAAATACGTGCCTGCAACAGGAATGATTCATCACCTGTCCACACAGATATCTGGAAAATTCTACTACCCCAATGACGACGACAAATAGGAGAGGACAAAGAAAACTATAAAAGTCAAGTTTCGAAGTCGTGTGATTACAATTGATGAAATGATTATGAACAATAAATTTTGTTCGAAAAGTCATCCAGTAAATAATACTGTTTCACTGACTGTGTGATATATCTAATAAACAAACTAATATGAGTTAATCATCACTGTGTCAAGCGTACACCACCTATCGAGTGTAATGAAAAGTTAAAGCTTCAGGTAACAAGAATATACAGACGTATGCAAGCGGTGAATACACAGAATTTTTGACCAGTCAGTCAGTCACAGTGTCAACATTGGAACTAAGTAGTACTCTCTTTCATAGTTGTGTTAAGTTGTCACATTTTATATCTGCCCACAGAGTCTGGTCCACTCCGGTCTGGTCCCCACATAACTAGTAGGAAACCACTCAACCAGGACAGAATACTGTTAATAATAATAATAATAATAATTTGTTTTATTCCAGAAACAGTACTAGTGGTACAGTGTGGAATTTTCAGCACATATCTACAATATTTGCATCTAATTTTACCGACATTTAAAATAAGTACTAAACAAGCAAAAAAAATAAATCTGAAGACACCAACAGCAAAAGAAAAAACAGGATAAACACAAAATAATTGTAAATGCGAAAAAGTACCAAAGTCTACCAAGGTCTAATGCAGTGTTTGTGGTGGGAGTGTGAGTAATCCTGAATAATACAAAATGTTTTAAGGTGGTGGCTATGGCGTCCACAACCAAGGTTGTCAGTTTAATATTGCCGAAAAGTATAGAAAATAAGAAAAAACAACCACAAAACTAATAATTACGTGATGGTTAATGACAGGACAATTTTGTAAAACTCATAGTGTAGGAACCAGTGGATACACAAAAGAAGGAATATAGTAAAGTACAAAAAAAGGAAGCCAATGTTAATATTTTAGGTAGCTAAGTATTTTTGAAGAAGGAGTTCACTAAAGAATACAAAATAAGAGAGAAATAAAAGAGCCTAAAATTATGTTGTTAATAACAAAGCGAGTTATAGGTTTCACGCTTAACATTGTCTCTGTCGCTTAGAACACGGGCCAAGTATGGTATCGTTGAGTTCCTGTACTTGGTTGTACGAGCATAGATTATTTTATACTGATTTCTAGCTTTACTTGATGAGATACAAGGAGAGAGTTGGGAATGGAGGGGGTGTTGGGGGTCTAAGAGTATGGTTTTTGACCATCTTTCGCATGTATTCAGATGCCTATCAAATAAAGTAGTGACGAGCTGACTGAGATTTACACCACTAGTCCTACTCACTACCTTCAACATCCTTCTCAGGATGGTATAGTCCTTTTTCAGTAGACCAGGAAAGACTAACGAGAAGCAGTAAAGTAGAATAGGTAAGATACAAGAGTTGACAAATTGTGAAAGTAGAGGTTGGGTGATTCCGGATTGTCTAAGTTTCTTAATGTAGTAGGTAAGACAGAACACTTTCTTAGCAATCATTAGGATATGAGATGTCCAATTAAGATCGGAAGATAGAACTAACTAGACCGAGGTATTTAGCATTAGACTTAGTTTCAATTTTAGTCGCCTCAATGCAGCAGGCTTCATGAGAACTTACTAGTGTTTGTAGATCTCGTTTATGCCTAAGGGAGAAGTCGGTACGTGAACTTAAAATACAAAATTAAAAATAAGTTGGAAGGAAAAACACGGTATGGCCGGCTAATCGATCGGTTGTAAAATTCCCATTACACTTAAGGCACAGAGAGACTGACAATCTCCGATAAGTAGGTCAATATTAGCATGATGTAAGTATGATGTAAGTGCATGATGTAAGTGATCGATTATTGACAGTCGTTTACATTATATATATAAGCATCATATTGTAAATATTGTAGTTGTAAAAAAACTGAAAAGAAAAAGAAATCAATAAATATTCCACCCAATGATTTAGATTTAAACAGCTTAATTTTTTATAACCAAACAAGAAAGACACTACTAACTAACTAAATAACTAACTAACAAACTAACTCTGGAATCGAAGATTTTCCTCCTTTTTCTTCACAATTAATCCTTTGTACACTCAACAAGATTAGTATCCTTGCAATTGATGGTATGAAAGCGAACAGCAGTACAATATATATGATTTGTTCTACTAAAGCAAATCGAAAAATAGCTTCCAATGAATATGGATATTTTGATGTTACACCGATGACAAGCATAGATGATTTCAACAGCATACTTAGTATATGCTCTATAAACATTTCATTCGATAATAAATAAGTTGATAGGGAACAGTGCTCTTCAACTGCTTCTTCTTCTTCTCGCCATGCATTTTTGATTTCACTTTCGATAAACAATACTAAAATAAATAAATAAATAAATATTGATTGATTGAAGAAACATTCACTCACCTTTAATATTTCAAGGAATACATTGAAATCTGAAAATAATAATAAAAAGATTGATGTCGAGAGAAGAAAAACCGTGAGACTAGTATTTGGTACAAATACAAGTGCATAGAATGAACATAAGATGAAAGTGGAAATAATAAGGGAATAGAAGAGGATAGTTAATCGCCTTCTATCATCTTTTGTCTGATGCATTAAACATAGATCTCCACGACTCAATACATAGTTCAATTCATTTGATAAAGTATCAATAAAATAGAGGAATATAGAAATGAAAATAAGAAAGCAAGGACTTTGATAAATTATGATATCTAAAGAATCATGACTGTATAGTATAAGTTGACAAATAAGTGTAAAGAATTTGTAAAGTAGATATGTAGAAAGTAGAAGAAAGACAACTAGAAAAGAAATATCACGATAGAAGGTAAATGTAGTTTTCGTTTTTTTTCGAACTCTAATTGGAATCATACTAAATAAAGTAAAACTTGACAATCGAATTATACAATATACATTATCCCACACTCTTTCTCTCTGTCTCTCTTTTTAGCTTCAACAGCTGTATGTAGGTTAAGTGATGATTGGAGCCAATTCACATGTACCCAATGTTGCAAAATCTGAAAAGGGAACAACAAAATGAAGATTGGAAGAAATAGATACGCTAAATGAATGAAGAAATATCCCTACATTGAGTTCATAAGAAAAAGGCGTAAACAGAGAAGAAACGAATCTTTCTCTTTACGACAATTCATTTTCATGAGCTGTACACATGAGCTTATTCATTAGTCGTCATCGCACACTTATCACGTCATAACAATTGGACCCAATTAAACAAAATAATATAATTTACAAAATACCCTGCAATGACTGTGAAGTCAACTACATAGGTCAAACTAGTAGGTCGGGCAGGAGTAGTCAGATTATCAGAAAATAAGAATTTAGCTAAGGTAAAAATGGTTGACCCTGAAAAGATGAGCAATTTAGAAAAAAGCTCAGCTATTGCACTTCACGCATTAACAAACAACCACACAATAGCGGTGGGATAGGGTTAAAATTCTAAAAAGTAATATAGGTAGTTGGAGAGACACGTTGATTACTGAATCTTTGTTCATCGAATCTACACCCAACACATGCAACAGAAGTGACTCAATGCAAATAGCAGAAATATGGAAGATATTATCACCGCCGGTCAAATCAGAGGAGGATAATAAATAATCTTAAAATTCTATTTCCATTCAAGCACATCATAACATTCTAACAAATAACTTATTATGACTGTAAAAACACTCGTCTTATTTCCCATCTAATTGTAATTGATCAACAACACTCATATTATTATCTCTGAATGTACATTATCTCATATTGAATTTTATTCCAATATCTAATCGATTCCACACATGTATATAAATGAAGGTAGAAGAAAGTTGTGTGAGTAACTTGATATGATTATGAGCAATAGTTTGTGCTCGAAACGTGGTCATCAGTTAATATAACTGTACAACACTGTGTGATTTATCAAAATAAAATCATAACCATTATGGAGTTATACTCTACCACAGTGCCCAAGTTTTATACTTATATCAATAACACGTCATAACAAATTCTATCTCTTTCCTAACTTACAATTAGTGCACTCACTCCTGAGCTCTTTCTAAGGTTGTATAAAACATACATCAGACCGCACCTTGAAGTGCATAATATATTATTGCACCTCTCCACTGCTTAGAAGAGACGCCAACCTCTTGGAAAGAGTCCAAAGACGGGTAACAAAAGGAGTGGTTGGTCTCCGAAATAAACCATATGATGAAAGGCTGAAGAAATTAGGCCTATTCACACTTAGTTACCGTCGTCTTAGGGGGGATTTAATTACTGCCTACAAGATAACAAATGATCAGAATCACACAAACAAAGGTGTTCTGCCATTGAGTAGGTATACGGATCCCTCGTGGAAATCCTAGAAGGATAGCTCATCAGAGGGCAAGGACCCGGGTGCACTCCCACTTCTTTTCCCTGCGGGTTTGCCGTCCCTGGAATTCCTTACCGGCAGATGTAGCTATGGCACCGTCTGTGGACGTCTTTAAGCGAAGGCTGGACAACCATGCAGCAACACAAGGAGGACTGCATCCAAATGGCCTATCCCCTTAAAAGCGCATACACCATTCGGGGGTGGACAATTAAACTGGTCGTTTTACTTCTTTACATTCTCTTCCGTCTTACTCTCCTGACAGCTTTAACTACACCCAGTATTATTATCATTATTACCGGTATATATATATATATATTATATATATATATACATATATATATATATATACCGGTTGACTGACTGTTGTTACGTTTTCTTATTCTTTTTCTGTCTGTTAGTCTGAATACCTTCACTAATTATATCTATAATTATTATTATTATCTCTTTTCTATTGACGACAATACCGAAGGACCAACTGGTGAAAGGATCAACTCCATTCACAGTAGTAACAGTCTTAACACACCTCATACTACAAACCACATATAATTAATTCCTGCACTACTCCTTTTGGAGTCAACCAAAGCTACGACAGTCGAGTGATGGGACGAGGTACGCAGACGTTTACCAAAGATTAGGAACCTCTACTTCACAATCAAGAGGCGAGCGCAAAGAAATCAAATTGGTTTATGCTAGCTCGTAAAAACGATATTGGATCCCATCTAGGTTACACCTTACATTATATAATACAAAGTTTACCAGCATCTGATTGGTCTAAAGATTTCTTTCTTTGATAGTATTTCAACAGAATTGTGCCAATATGTTTTATCTGGATATACCCTCTTTATAGTTATGAAATCTGCTTCGAAAACAGAAGACATACTGTTCAATACTGAGCAAATTAAGATGTTTCAAGCAAAACCACGTTTAAGAGTTCGTCTTATTGGCAGAACATATATTTATCACGCATTGTACGATTTCTTTATAGACCAGTGACTGGAAGATATTATTACAACACATAAAAGACAGTTAAACAGTTTAAAAGGTTGTCTTCTTGCTAATGAGATATATTCTATTCTTTATTTTGTGATTACAAAATCATGCTAAAAATTTTAAGTTACACAAAACTGCTTCACGTAAGCTTTTAAGTAAGAAACAGATGAACTATGATAAAAAGAATGTCTCACCTAACAAACAACGAGCTGAAGTAACGTTGCTGCCGAAATCCCCTCTTAACTTCAAACAGACAATATCGCTACCATCCAATATTCAATTTCGTTTTTACGAGCTAGTATAAGTGAATTTAATTTCTTTGTGCTTGCTTCTCGATTGTGAGGTAAAGGCTATTGATCTTTGGTAAACTTCTGTGTGGCGCGTCCCTCCACTCGATTATCGTAGCTTCGGTTGACTCTAATAAGATTGGTGCTGGGATTGATTATATGTGGTTTGTAGTATGCTGCGTGCGAAGACTTTGTTGCCACTGTAGAGTTGATCCTTTCACCAGTTAAATTTTTGATGACGTCTTCAAGGGAAAAGAGACTATAATAATAACAGATATAATTAGTGTGGGTTTTTCAGCCTAAAAGACAGAAAAAGAAATAAAGAAAAGGTAAAAGCAGACAACTAATTAAAATTTGAAGTTGAAATGTATACATATATAAATATAAATATATATGTATATAATAGCAGTAATAATAATAAGTGTAGTAGTTAGAGAAGTCAGGCGAGTAAGACAGGAGAGAATGTGAAGAAGTGAAACGACGAATTTAGATGTGTACCCAGGAATGGTGTATACGATTTTAAGGGGATAGGCTATTTGGATGCAGTCCATGTGTCGCTACATGATTGTCCAGCCTTCGTTTAAAGCTCACCACAGATGGGCCCTTAACTACATCTGCCGGTAAGGAGTTCCAGGGACGGATATCCAACATTGAAAAGAAGTTGGGGCGCACTCGAGTCTTTACCCTCTGATGAGCTATCCTTCTGTGATTTCCACGAGAAAGCCCATACCTACTCAATGGCTAAACACGTTTGTCTTGGTGATTCTGGTCATTTGTCATCTTAAAGGCAGTAATTGAGTCCTCCCTAAGCCGACCGTGGCTAAGTGTGAGGAGACCTAATTTCTGTCGCCGTCCATCATATGGTTTGTTTCGTAGACTAACCGCTCCTTTTGTCTACCGTTTTTGGACACTCCAAGAGGTTTGGGTCTCTTCTAAGTAATGCAGTGATATTATGCACTTCAAGGTGGCAGCCTTAGAAAGAGCTTAGGAATGAGTGCACCTAACTGTCTATGTGTGAAGTGTATGACATCGTATGCCCTCGCTACATCACCCATGTAATTCACGCTTGTGTCCATTTTTCCAGTAGAACCAGACTTAAGTCACGCTCAGACGTTGTGCACGACAAGCTTTCGTTGCACAGGGTGTACCCTGCATTCTGCAGCCTACAGGTGCGTAATGTCACTACTTTACACTTTTTCAGGTTGAAAGTCATACTGTGGTGAGAGCTGGTTGCTAGGCTAATTTTTTTCCTTCACGTTCCCCAGTGGAACATAGGGCTTCAAGCTAGTTGGCTTGAAGTTTCTGTGGCAGTGTTTATTTTACAGTATGGGGTTGGTAGCCTCATGCCCAAACTTTCCTCTTTACCAGAATTATTTCTGGCTGAGCGAGGTAAAGGAGTGCGTCGGCCGGGTATCGAACCCCGGACCATGTGCACGGTCGGCGAGCGTCCTAACCACTATGCCACCGACGCACGCTAGCTTAATTGGTAGACAGTAATTTAAGCAAATGTTTACGTCCCCAATATTGTTCGTGAGGAAAATCAGAGCAAAGGCTTTGCGTAGGCGGATACAGTTAGCATATAGATGATCTGACATTCAATAAACAGCCACAAAGAGATGGAAGATTAACTTTCGGTGAGAAACAACCAATCAGAAGACTGTGTTTGTCTACTAAAATAATCTATAATAGTGTACATGAAAATCTATAAATATATGTTGATTTCCTTAATAAACGATCTGTTGCCTGGCCCTTGTCTTCTGTTGTTACAATACCTCTGGCCACCACCCAGTCTTCCAGAGTATTTAGATCTTCCTGCAGCCTATCTGAGTCTTCTGAACACTTTACTACTCCCCATATATTTACGTTGTTAGGCTACAGAAGATTCGGGCATCTTAGATGGCATGGTAGGTCACTGATAAAAATCAAAGCCATCAGTGGCCCTATGATAAAACCCTGCGGTACTCCTGATAACGAGCTGTACTAAGATGACCGGAATCGATTGACCTTAGTGCAAAATTGCCTCAGGGAGAACGAGATCGAATCCTATGACTGCATGGTAACTTCTTCCTAGCGGAGTCATGATCTGAATTTTTTCGACGAGTAGTTGGTCACTAGTTAGAATATAATCTATTTTTGATGACTTTCCAATAGGGCACCGCCCAACATTCTCAGCCATTGCTGTATTTCTAATGGTTTGCACTAGATTTCGCCCGAACTTTTCCTGAGCATACCCCGAGCCAAGTTTAGTGATGGGGCACTAAAATCCCCACCTATAGTGATTTGGTGATAGCCCAAGTCCCGTATCCCTGTGATGGTGCTGAGCAGTGGCTGGTTGTTCTCTGACCCACAGGTGGGCGATCGGTTGATGCCACCCAGTAAATGCTTGGTGTGGCCTACAATGAAATGACATTATAAGGAGTCTGAGAGTTCAATAAGTGGTGGGTCTGTTTTACGAACGCATTTAAGTTGCTTGTCAAAGTATATGGCAACCCCCACCCTTCCTTGTTACCCCAGCCTCTCCTGACCATATCTATATTACCTATACTGATTTCGTTGTATTTAGGTGTAGGTGCGACTGGAGGTTTCTGAGTTCACCTAGTTTGCCTCTCAGCCCTCTCACATTGCTATAAAGGCAGCTGACAGTGAGTCTCACAACCTCAGCGTGTTGTAAGTTAGTTGACGTTACGTTGTCTGCTGGTAGGAGGACTTAACATTGAAACTAGTTGGCCGATTGAGATGGAACCGGCCTGTTGTCGTTTTTTCCACTTGGATTTAAAAGGACACTTGACTGTCATTCTCAGTGCCGCATCCCTGTAGTGTGACTGACGCTTAGGACGCATTAAAACCTCACTCTGCTGCCCCCTTGTGGTTCGAAGTCTGCTTTCGCAGCATCGGGAGTGTCCACCCAATTTACCCTTTGTCTCGTACCACCGTTGAGGTGCCAGAGCCAAGTGTTCCTGGGAGTTAGTTTTGATACTTAGCAGCCTTGTGGAGTTAATCAATGTGAGATGAGCGGGGCAAGATAGCCGGAAAACCGAGATTGCTTCAGAAGCATCGAGGGCTATCTGAGACGACAGCCATCTCCATTGCTGTGCGTCATGCATGTGTTTTTCATAAGCAGTGTCAGTTTCCAGCCCTGGAACACCCTGTATAACCATAGAGGTGGAAGGCATCAATTCCGATGACTCCCTCGCCATTTGCCTGTTACCCCATGGCCTATCATGTCTCAATCTTATGCAGGAACTCCTGTGGATGGCTAATACTTGAGCAAGTAACAGTATTCTTCCAACCTCTTCCGCAGAGCACAAGTCACCCTTGATGGATGTGGCTTACCTTGAGGTGCCTGAACATCCATGTACAGCCTGCACAATTTTACTGAATTGATGTCCAGTCCTGATTTATTGCACGAATTGGACCACTGTTCCTGATCAAACAGCGTCCTCTGTTCAAGCAAACTATCACCGCACACAAGTACATTAAACAGCATAGGTGAATTCGATCGACTGACCTCAGACTTGGGTTTGGTTTTTGGCTGCTAGTCCTCCTTTGTAGGGTCAGTCACTTTAGATTTCATCAGTTCCTGCCTAGTCTTTGCTGTGTTGCCATGCTTGCCAGCAGATGCAGATGGTGCTTTGGCAAATCCCTCTCTCCCCTGCTGTTCTAGGTGTAACCTTGGGAGTCGTTAGTTTATGAAGACTGATATTCCCAGTCGGTTGGGCTGCAGTATTCTCTTATGGTCTATGCCACATTTTGGTGGTGTGTTGTTATCGGATGGAGAGCTGCATGATTCTGTTTCCAGGCACAAAAGTGGCGTGCTGTTTCTGCTGTCCGACGCCAAGCTGTGTGAGACTGTGCCAGGGCAACAAAGAGGGCAGATGTACCAAAACCATGGCCTCCGGTTGTTTCGCATAAACTCATGATATGCTTTCGGCATACCTTTGTCACAACGGCAGTGTGCCCATCGAGTGTAAAAATTGCGTTCAAATGCTGAATCAGCTTCAGCAACGACAACACTACGGGCATTATATTCGTTTCATGTCATAGATGAGGCTTTCGAGGTCTTATGACATCTTGAGCGTTTCTTTTTTGTTTGCTGTATGTCACACACTGGCTTCCAAGGGATATAGGTGTAGTATCATAATAATAATGATCTATATTTTCATATAAACATAAATTTACATGAAAATGCATGCCATTTTTACAGGCACGATCAAGTATGATATAATGACAAATAGTAGATTGTCTACAAGTTAATAATGTTTGAACAGCTAAATATTTGATATATATATAAATACACTCATTGTCTGACCCATGTCGTATCATTATTGAATTAAACAGTAGTCCTCGAGGTTGCGCAGGGAAATCGACTTCGTTTCGTTTTCAACCCGCAGTTGTAGGCATACGATAGCCAACCAATATTGAGGTAAGTACAACGTTTACAAGGGAAGTAAGATCATCACTTTTTTTAAAAGTTCAAATTGCTGAATTATATAGTACAAGCAATCGGAACAGATTCTTATAATTGTTAATTTGTAAATCTTCCACGAAGGTTTCCATCGAAGTTGAGCGACAACCACGTGCTTGAACGCTCTTTCAGGAATAGGAGAAAATCCTGCACAGCTACAAAGTGGTATAAAATGCAATCATGAATAATACATTATTGGAAGTATATTTACAAGAAAAATACAAGAATAAGCTATACAGTACTTGATATGATAGCGCACATTTGCAATGTATGATGCTAACCATATTGGTCTTACCATGGAAAACTGTGACGTTTTCTATGAAAATAAAGTTATTCTCAAACATGAGTGCTGTTGTTATGTTTTTTTACCATCAGAGCAACCGAACTTTATAATAATAATTTGCTTTATTCCAAAACAGTACTTGTGATACAGAATGGAATTCTCAGCATTTTTACTACAGTATTGCATCCAGTTAGTACATTA